CCTAGTGGTGCATAACGCTAAAGAAGCTAGAACTTCTGGCTGCCAGACAATCTTAGGGTCTCCTGGCTATTCTACACACAATGCCATATGATAATAATTATTTAGTTATTCACAACTGGATTGTATTGCCCACACAACAAAATCCAGTTATGGATGACTGCAAAAGCACAATGACAGAGCATGAGTTTGTGGCTCATGCAGGAGTTGAACCTTGGGTAGTCAGGGCCATCCGGGCAGCCGGCAGAGGATGGGGGGGTTGCACTTACCAGGAGCTGGGAGTTTCTTGGTACATTTCAGTGACATACCCATGTGACTTCCAATGTGACCCGGAAGTGACGTAAGCACGTTGGGGCCGTCGGGGCCAAAACTGTACTGTAGAATTAGCTTCTACCATATTCCTCCCCCAAAACCAGAGTGTCGCCATGATGTCCCCGATGTGCCAATATTCCTCCCCCAAAACCAGAGTGTCGCCCTGACGTCCCCGATGTGCCTACATCACTTGCGGGTCATGTTCAAGTCATGTAGGCATATCACTGAAATGTTGGGTGTTTCTCCCTTGTTTGGGGAGTACTTCCCCCCCTGTTGGCCAGCTGATCGGCAGCAGAGAGGTGGGGCTTGACAGTGGGGATCCCCTCCCCCACCAGAGGGTCTGGTATCCCTATATGAACCAGGGACCAGCTTTTCATTCCAGAGAACAACCTTGTAAGTCAACTGCAACAAAAACAAACAAGCACCTTGAAGAGTCATGACGTTTTATTCCTGCATAGATTTTTATGGATTTTTACGATCCAAAACGTACTGCAGTGTTTATTGGACATCCCATCCTGTTGATTGTATTGGCTGGCTCTGTGTGATCCACCTTGAGTCCCAGTAAGAGAGTTGGACTATAAAATAACGTAAGTAAAATGGACTAGAGCTTGTGGGCTGGACTAAAACCCTGCCCATTTTTTAAGAGGCCACTGAACTCCTGCTTATTTTTTCTGGGTGTCATATTTTCCAAGGGACAGCAGCCACCCTTCTCTGTCTCCAGAGCTTTGGCGCAACCTGAAACCATTCTGCAGCGGGCACAAACTAACCTCATTTAGTATACATGGCACCTCTTCCGTTTCACCTTAAAAGTATCACAAGCAGCAGCCTTGCGCTCAGCAAGGTCAGCTTTTCTTTCCCTCCTTTTCTGTGTTTCAGTTAACACCGTTCTGGTGAACCCCAAGCTTGCTTGCTTCTGGATTTGGTCACAACAGGGGTGCCTCCACTTCTGGAGTCTGGCCCATGCTGAAGAACCTCATGGCAGAAAGGTAAGCAGGCCTCGCTCTAACTTCCTCCCCCCTCAGGCTTGGCCTGACCTCCACAGACTGTCATTTCTTTCCACTGTCTCTGGTTAACCAGCTTCGGTTCCATGAGATGTAATCCTAGCTCCTAGCCAGTTTCCCAGAAAGTGTTCTTAGGCCTTCAAAGAAACCCAATCATAGCGAAAACGAGTCTTCTCCTGTTAACAGCAAGGCTTTCCAGAGGCTTGCCTGAGCAGGGGCAGTCTTCACTGGAGGGCAACAGGGGGAGCTGCCCTGGGCCCCATACTAGGAGGGACCCTGATCATCCACGGCCCCTCATCCTCAAGGGGGAGGTGGGGAAGAAGAACAGGCTCCTGCCACCATTAGAGTTACCAGGCTCAAGGTGGGGTCTGGATATCTCCAGGAACCACAGCCGATCTCCAGACAACAGAAATCCGTTCCCCTGGAGAAAACGGCTGCTTCGGAGGGTGGGCTGTCTCTGGCATTATAACCCTGCTGAGGCCCCTCCCCTCTCCAAACCCCGTCTTCCCAGGCTTTACCTCCAAATCTCCAGGTATTTCTGAATCGGGAGTTGGCAACCCTACCTCACACCCACCCTATCTGGTGGCAGCAAGGGCTCCCACCCTCTTTGGACAGGGCGAGGGCCACCTCCCGCTTCACCCCTGGCAGTGGGGCAGCAATGATTCTGGCACTCCAGAGCCTACCAGTTCACTAAAATCACCCCGTGCCCGAGATCAGGCTTCTCAGTTCACACCTTGAATTTGCTGAAGAGAAGCTGCTACCATCAAAGTAACTCATCCTTGAGGGCTGAGTTAGCACTACGTTCCACACAATGCCAGAGGCAGGAGAGGGTTTAATAACTCCTGTTCGAACCGTTCCCCCTTCCTCACAGCTGCTTTTTCAAAAACAGACGGTAACGGGACCATTGCAAAACGCAAGGGAGCGGCAATGCAGCAGCAGTCTGTGATTTAAGCAGCCACAGGGCAATTGGGAATTCCACAAGAGTTATTTCTCTTGGCATGGAGAGTAATTCATTAATTAATTACCATATGGCAGTGTGTGTAGTATAGCCAGGAGATCCTAAGATTATCTGGCAGCCGAAAGTTCAAGCTCTTTAGCGTTATACAGTACTAGGTGGTGAGCTAGACTTGTTTGTAAGGCAAGAGACATTTCAGAGGTGGTTTGCCATTGCCTGCCTCTGCATCACAACCCTGGTATTCCTTGGAGGTTGCCCTTCCAAAAAGAAGAAGAAGAGATTGGATTTATACCCCACCCTTCACTACCCGAAGGAGTCTCAGAGCGGCTTACAAACTCCTTCCCCTCCCCACCACAGACACCCTGTGAGGTAGGTGGGGCTGAGAGAGCTCTGACAGAAACTCCTTTTTTTTGTCAAGGACAGCTCTTATCAGAACTACGGCTTGCCCAAGGCCATCCAGCACGTGCAAGTGGAGGAGTGGGGAATCAAACCCGGTTCTCCCAGATTAGAGTCCGCACACTTAACCACTACACCAAACTGGCTCTACTATCCAAATTCTATCCCAGGCCGACCCGGCTTATCTTCTGAGATCTGATAAGATCGGGCTAGCCGGGGCTATCCAGGTCAGAGATGCAATGATAAGAAACTGCACCAACTGGAATTCTGTCTATCGCATAACTCTTAAAGGACCGGGGTGGGTGGGGGGTGAACGGCAACTTATTTGAGCTGGTTAGTGCAGTGCAATCCAATGGACAGCGTTAGAATGAAGATGGGCAGGTTTAGCTGCAGGTCGCAAAAGAATGCAAAATGGCAGCATGTTACCTGTCCTGGGCTCTTGCCTAGGATGAACCGGGTTAGAGATGGCTCGCCATGGCTTTTCTCAGCCTGGCTATGGCCATCTCCTCATTCTCCACATGGGGATGTTTTTCCCCAGGCAGGGTTCTTGGGCCTGGTAGGTAAAAATGCAACAGAGAAGCCGTGTGCTGCAGTGGTTAGTTTCAGATCTGGGGGCACTTGGCTCACACACCATGAAGCTGCCTTATACTGAATCAGACTACTGTCCATCAAGGTCAGTATTGCCTACTCAGCCTGGCAGCAGCTCCCCAGTGTCTCAGGCAGAGGTCTTTCACATCACCTACTGCCTTGTTCTTTGAACTGGAGGTGCCGGGGATTGAACCTGGGACCTTCTGCAAGCAAAGCAGAGGCTCTTTTACTATGGCAGGGCAGGATGGTTCAAAGCCCCCTTTCTGCCACAAAGCCTAGTTGGGTGATCTTGGGCCAGCTGCTCTCTCCGTCAGCCCCACATCCCTTACAGTGTCATTATGGGGATAAAGAAGAAGGGATCAGGTTTATACCCTGCCCTTCACGACCTGAAGGAGTCCCAGAGCGGCTTACAATCTCCTTTCCCTTCCCTTCCCCGCAACAGACACCCTGTGAGGTAGGTGAGGCTGAGAGAGAGCTCTTTCGAGAGCTGTTCCTGAGAGATCAGCTCTGAAAGAACTTGTGACTGACCCAAGGTCACACCAGCAGCTGCATGGGGAGGAGTGGGGAATCAAACCTGGTCCTCCCAGATTAGAGTCTGTGCTCCTAACCACCACAACAAACTGGCTCTCAAACAGGGACAGACAGACCAGAGGAAGCTGAGGAGCCTCACGAGATTTAAATTTTTTTTTTTAGAATGGGACCTCCATCTAGGTGCTTTCCAAAGGCAAAAGCACAACACAAGGACCCTGCCTGAAGGTTTACCACCATCTAAAGCAGGTTTATGAAGAGGCAGCATATAAACAACAATAACCAACATGATATATTCTTTTCCGTATGTTTTAGTTTTTATCTTGTATTACTATCTCCTGTGTTTTAATGCTTATTTTATTCTGTATTTTATCATTTTTATTGTAATGTATTGTACTATATTTGCAGTGGCCATTGGCCATATGCAATAAACTGAACTGAACTAACATGAGATCAAAGCGTGTTGCCAACTGACCAGAAACACACACACAGAAGTCAGTAGGTGGGGATACATATTTATTTTTTAAAGGGAATTCTGATTCCACCTCTAGAGAGACATGTTCAACGCTTGTCCGCTGTTACCATCTGAGGAAGTATGTGTGGCTAGATGCTGTTAAATACACAGCGACTATGGCCAGTTGAACAGTTGGCCACACCAATACAGCTGAAAAAGAAAGGGATGTGGAATGAAATGCTTCCTGGATAATACACGAGTTCTTGATTATAAGTCATTTGTATTTATTCCAAAGTCATGAAAACTGTCCTTAAGGGCAACAAAACGAAATTCACAAAGGGACGAAACTTCCTCTTTGCTTCTCAGTGGCTGACCCTACAGTCTACATGCCGGTCTTTTAAATGTATTAAATGAGGAGTGTTGATTGAGAGTTACGGTGCATCGCGGTCCAAACAAAGACCTTTGCTCAGAGCCAGACAAATTACCACCTTCGCACTTTGGCAGGTGTGACTATGAAGCTGTTCAAAGCCAGACCCCACCTTCCTGGCAGGATTTCCTGAAGCCACCCGTTTGCCATCACCTGTCGAAGGTAACGTTTCCTGATTCCACCGTTCCACTTTTAGCTTTTGTTCCCCTCCCTTCCTCTTCTTTCCTATATAAAAAATACCACTCAGAACGAGTTTGGCAGCAGTGCTGGCTTAGTCTCTCTGTACACACAACGAGGTTTCGGTCAAACTCGCCAGCTCCTTTTCACTGGGCGCACGAAGGGGAGAAAACAACAGGCACACAGCTGGTGCTTCTGCGACAAGCCGCAGCCAGATCCAAGCTGGCTCGCTTCGGTAAGCTGTATCCGAGCTGACGTCAGCGTCAAGGTTCTAGGGGGCACTAGGGCAAGGCAGGCAGCCGAGCTGGGGAAAGGCAGGGGCCCCGTGCAAGCGGAGGACTCTCTCTCTTTCATGCTGCCACACACCTTTTGTGGCTAAAAGTGAACGGCGCCGCTGTTTCTTTGGGAGGGGGCAGCCAATGCCTGGATTCACCGTTCCCCCGCTGGGATGATCCCTGTGGTGGAAACTTGGGTGGCATTAGGCAAGGCAGACCAAGCTTTCAGAAGCAAGAATGAACTTTTCGGGAGGAATTAGAGAGTGTGATCTGAAAGGAAAGGGATCTAGGCGGGAGGAGCAATTGCAGAGCTTGGAGAGAAAGTATCAAATTCAGTGAGGATTTCTGTTGCCTGGTTATGGACCACCAGCCTGTGTTGTTTGTTCTTTGATATCCTGGGGCCGTTTGGAAACTTGGTCAGACGTTCCTCAGTTACAAGGTAGCTAATGGTGAACAAGCGTCCTGGAAGATACTTTGTCAGCTGGGCCTGTTCTTCCCGGATATTGCAGGACAGCGGTAGGCAATCACCCTGGCACATGTGGGGCACAGTGGCACACCAGATAATTTTGCTCGGTACCACAGCTCCACATCAAAGCCAGGGGTGTTATGGAGCTGGAATGGGCTCAGGTCACAGCTGGGAGGCTGAACGGCAGGCTGGAAGCCAGCATGATGCCATTGAGGGGTTCCCTCCTGCTAAGCAGCAATTGTTTAACGTTAGAATTTAGAATGTGGTGGTTCTGGAAACGAAATGTTAAGTGTGCCCCACTAGGTTGCTTGCTCACAGAGCACGTTTCAGGCCCAGAAATTGCACAGGTGTTGTCTTTAATCCACTGCATTCATATGTATTCACTGAAGTGGGACCATATAGCTACAGCCTTGTTCCATCTAGACTGGCTTCCACTTTGCTTCTGGGCCCAATTCAAGGTTCTGGTGTTGCTCTTTAAAGCCACCTATGGCTTGCAGCCACCATAGCCAAAGGACTGCCCTCTCTCGCGTGAACCTTCTCGGCCACTACAGTCACCTTCAGGTGTCCCCCACCTGAAGCTGTAGAGGTGGCGACATGAGGAAGGGCCTTCTCTATTGTGATACTGAAACTCTGGAGCTCCCTTCCCAGGGAGATTCGTGTCTCCATCTTTGTCTTCTGTAAGCGGGTGAGGACTTTTTTTTTGTTTGGTTTGAAGTTTCCTCATTCATTTTTATCAGAGATTCAGGTGGGTACCTGTGTTGGTCCGAAGCAGCAGAACAAAGTTTGAGTTCAGCGGCACCTTTAAGACCAACAGAGTTTTATTCCTGGTCTAAGCTTTCGTGTGCAGGCACACTTCTTCAGATACCAGTCCATAAATATAGGTAGATGTATGTTTTCTCCTGGAATTAAACCCAAACGAAACTTAAACTAAGCCTGTTATTCCAGTTTGGTCCTTGTGTCTGTTAAATACCTTTGTTATGCTGTATGTTAATTTGCTGCTCACCTATATATATGGACTGGCAACGTCCACTTCAATGTATCTGAAGAAGTGTATGCGCACATGACAGCTAATACCTTGTGTGAAATATGAAACACGTCCACATCTTACTTCAGTTTCCCAGAGCAGTAAGCCTTTAATCTTGACTTCGGATTCCGTACCCGCTTTATGCACCATTCTTTTCCCTTGTGGTGAATTTATTCTGCAGCTACAATTTAAAAAACGGTTTTCTAAATCAGGATGGAATGTCACTTGTGATCAAGGTTCCCTCTAGGGTGCACCGGCCTGTGCACTGTGCCACTTGGCACACTGAATCCCCGCTCCCAGGGCAGAGCGTCCCCCCACCAGCACAGGGGTACGTGCTGCTTAACCTGGGTTCGCCCTGCCCCCCTCAGCCAGGGCCTGTGGGCCCTATAAAGGGGGTGCTGCCACCCCTGCCCAGCAGTCCTTGCCCCCACTGCCCAAGAGGTATTCAAAGAGCTGCTGCCCACTGCCTGGCCTGCACCATTGGAGGCGAGTCGCCCCCTCGATTTTCTCCCCTCCGTGCGGGCCTCTGCACCCAGCGTTGTCAGGAGTGTGTAATCTGGGATCTGGGGCCCTTGGGCAGTCAGCCAAGGGTGGAGGGAGGTGTGGGGGAGCCAGCTGCACATGTTCTCCTCCCTCCCTCCCTCCCTGGCAGCAATGTGGCCTGGCGCCCCTCCATGGGCCTCTGTGGCCAGCACTGTCAGTGTATGTCTGCTGTGTGGGGCCTGGCAGCATGGGAGGGGGAGACCGCACGTGCCCTCCTCTCTCCTCCTCAGCAACATGGCCCGGTGCCCCCCATGGGCCTCCCATGGCCAGCACTGTCCAGAGAGTGAGTGTGCGCACCAGGAATGGAGGTAGGGAACAGGCACCTGCCGCTGCATAGGCTAGCTTGGCTTGGTTTAGGCATTTATCTCTTTAAATCCCTTCCCCAAGCCAAGCTGGCCTGCACAGTTGGGGGGGGGCAAGGTTGGAGAATGCATTTAACTTTAAATGCATTCTCCAACCTTGCCCCCCCCCAACTGTGCAGGCCAGCTTGGCTTGGTGATGGGATTTAAGGAGACATATTTTTGTCTCTTTCCTTCTCTTCCTTCCACTCCTCTCTCCCCTTCTATTTGCTTTCTTTACACCTCTCCCTCCCTTCTACTTCTCTCTCCCCATCTATTGGCTTTCTTTCCACCTCTCCCCTTATTTCTTCCTTCTTCTCTCCCCATCTATTTGCTTTTTGTCCACCTCTCCCCTTCTACCTCCTTTCTTTTGTGTTATTAAAAAAAGTAGGTTCACTCACAACTTTAATCCTAGTAGGTCTTTTAGCTCACAAAGTAGAATTTTGGCTCACAAGACTCCGCAGCTTAGAGGGAACATTGTGACATGTGGGGGTGGTCATAGTTTTTTTTTTAATTATGCAATTGCCCTCTAGCAGCTGTGCAGTAGTGTCCAGCAAGAACTTTCCATATAAACTTTCCATATTCCATGTGCATGCATTTTAGCGTTAGTTCATGGAATGAAAGGGAACAAAAAGCAACACAGGCAAAGGGTGACTGTTGAAACTGACCAGACTTTTTATGAAACTGACAAGCAGCCCCAAAGCCCCATTTTCTATATTGCCAAGCACAAGGGGATTCTCAGCTGTGTTATCGGCCACTGTGAAAAATGGGAGTCATACAATCTCATACAGTGGAACATGTTGAGTGTACAGAATGCATGGTAGAACACACTGACACTGGCACTGAAAGCTGTTATTGTTGGCAACGTGTGTGTGTGTGTGCACGCACCTGTACAAAGTTGGCTGCAACTCCACCACACTTTGCACAGGGCTGCAATGTGTATGGGAGGAGTCCTCTGGCAGAAGTTCTGGAGAGCATTTTTAGTCTTGTGCCACTAAACTGAAAAAATTGGGAGGGTATTTTCACTGATGCCCTAGTGCAGCTGCATAATAATGCTAATTTCCTGCCCTTCCTTGCAAATTTGCATGGTTTTCTCTTTGTTACTCTATAATTTGATCCTGCATACTGATCGTGAACTTGGCAGTTTTTTAACGACTGTCCTGTGCAGATTTCACTCTTCCTCCAAATGGACTGACTAAATTGATTAATCCCAAGCAATTCATAAGTGTGGCTGTTTGCAGAAGGTCCATGCAGCTCAGCCACCATTTTATTGTTAGGCTTCTGGAGACTGCCAAAATGGTTCCCCCACACACAACTTTGTTCACTAAAGCATGAAAGGGAAAAGTGTTTTCAAAGCTTTAGGCTTCCCATCCCGGTGTGTGTCTCTCTTTCTACATCTCATGTCAATTTCAATCTGCGCTGACAATCCCCCTCCTTTATTTTGTTTGCATGCAGCACTGAGATCCTCTTTTTTCTTTTGCACTGGGGATGCTGCTGTATGCCTCATCCCTGATCCCCCTTTCAAGTCAATACCAGCAGGGAACTAAACCTCGCACAACTCCTTAAACCTCCCCCCATTGTTTTAATTTTTTCAGCAATCCAAGACTAGTCTCATATAGCTAGACTCATGCCGCTTGTCAATTAAAAAAAATGAGGGGGAAATGGAGCTTGTACACTGATGAAGGGGGGAGGATGGCAGAAGGTACAGAGTTGGCGGAATGATCTTGATGAGGGCGGGGAGTGAACTTCGAGGGGTGGCAAAAGGGCGGGGGGAATCTGTACACTTTTGAATTACCTTCAGCTTCGAAGCAAAACAAGGGAAAAATCAGGGCAAAAGCACTCTCAGAAAACCTGGGGAAACAGTGACCAGAAAATGAACTATGCACTGAAGGGAAGAAAATCAATGCAGAACAACAAAGAAAGCCTGACAGACATGCACAGTGAAAGTGAGGGAAAACACTCATGCATAATAGGCCTTTATTGGTCTTCAAGGTGCCACTGGACTCGAACTTTGTTTAACTTTTATCAGCCCTTCTCCCTGTTTGTATGTTTATGTTTTGTTTTAAATGTTTCATATAGAATATATACTTTAAAATCTGATTTAATGTGTAAAATGGCTTAAAGTTTTACTGTTTGAAATGTTACTATCTTGGGGACCCTGAGGTGGGTGGAAAGGCAGCACAGACATGTGTTAAATAAATAAAAATTCCTAAGCGTGTACATCAAAAGAAAAACCACCGACATTTCATTCTGAAACTTCTAAACCAGTCTTACTTCAGGTGGCTTTCTCCCTTATCAAAAAACATACCTCTATATGAAGTATGTCTCTCCAAGGACAATATTTTTCTCCCCATCCCTTTGTTTCCACCTCAACCTCTCCATTGGTAGCTGTTGTAGGTTTTTCTGTTTGGATCCTTGGGCAAAAAATTTTTGCCTACCCCTGTTGGCAGGATGCATTGTTTGAGGACTTGGTTTGTGTGTGTGTGTGGGGGGGGGACACAGCCAAGCTTGGTGGGTGTATCCAATGCCACACTTGAACAGAGGGCCAAACGAGACATTACTGCATCCATGGATCTCACCTGTGGTGGCTGCTGCCATTTTAGAGTTAAACTTGGGCTGTGTGGGCACTTGAAAAGGCACACGGGGGTGGGGAGAAAAACGCCTGGTCCCACCATGTTGCGGACCTGACAACTGGGCCCTTGTGGCATTTTTAAATGGCCCAAGTTCAGGTCTAAAATGACAGAATCCACCACAGGTTGGACCCATGAACACAGTAACATCCGTTTTGGCCCTTAAAGGACCCTAGGAACTCGACCTTGTCTTCAGTGTGTAGAGAGCCCTTGGCTGTTAAGGAAGTGTTCTTATCTCTGCGGATTGTGAAAAGGGTCTCTCTTGAGGGAAAGAAGTTGCAAAACTGTATTTAAAACTAATAGCTCTTCTTCGCCTTCATACTCAGGCACAGTATGCGGACCCCGGCGGCCATGATTGTGGGCATCGTACTAGGTCCCTGCGGCCTTATCCTGAACCTGACCAGCACGCTGGCTCCCAACTGGAGAGACGTGAGTCGGATCCCTGACAGGGCTTTTGACCTTATCCAGCACCAGGGCCTCTGGGACATCTGCGAGGAAAGTGAAAGCACTCACCAGACCCAGTGCAACATCCAAGACAGCCTCGGATACTATTCCCAGCAACCCGTGCAAGTGTCCAAGGGGCTCATGCCTTCGTCTCTAGCAGTTCTCGTCCTTGGGCTGGCTGTGGCTTCGATGGGCGTGCGCTGCTGGACGGAAACACCCCACTTCCTGCTGGCTGGGCTGGGCGGCCTGTTGCTTTTCATTTCCGGGCTGCTGAGCCTTATTGCTGTCTCCTGGTACAATAACGAACTCTACAACCTCCCCGCCACTTCTGGCAGCATCCTGCAGGTAGGCTACTGCCTGGTCCTTGGTTACCTAGGTAGCTGCCTGGAAATCATCGGGGGCGTCTCCCTCACCATCAGCTTTCATCAGTGCTGCAAGGAACGCAAGCTAAAGAAGGCTGCTACGAATTACAATTATCCACCTGCCAACAAGCAGGTCCCGGCCATTGCTTCCTCCATTGACAACACAGATTTCGAAATGCATTACAGGACTTCGATGCCCAGGTCGTACACCAATGCTCTCGATGTATTGGAGGATGAACGTGTGAGTAAGTACAGCTATAGGAGCAGGCTGCCCTGTGAGGATGAACGTGCGAGTAAGTACAGCTACAGGAGCAGGCTGCCCTGTGACTCAGATTTATAGCCCTGCTCAGAGAGACCTTTGCAACAGGGGACAAGATGCAAGTGGGACTTTCGGAGGAAAGCTTATTACAGAACCATGTTAGGATAACAAGGGGTGTCCATCTCCATCAGCACCTCCATCAGCAAGTTCTGTCTCAGCCAAAGCCTCTTCCTACCTCTCCAAAACAGGGTGCAGCAATCGTGTTTCTTTCACCACTGGAGAATCTTAGAGCAAGATATATTTTGTACCATGTCGTCAGTCAATGTTTTGTTAAGTATTACTTGGACATTCAATTACAATTGTTGAAATAATGGCTCGGGGGCCTCAAGAAATTTTGGCGAACGGAAAAGATGTGTGTGTGTGTGTGTGTGGTCTTCACCGACACCCCCATGCTATTCCGGGGGAGGGGGGGTCCCCTGTCTTGCAGGAGATCATTTTACATTGCAGGGTCGAGGGGAGAGGTAAAGAAGTGCTGTTCCACTGATGGAAATCCACCGGGATCCAAGCCTATCAATATCTCCATCCACATAATCAGGGTGAGCAACCTTCTTCGTTGAGAATGTAGCTGTCAATGTTTGTAAGCACGAGGACTCAGTCCCTTTAATTTATGAAATAACACAAATAAAATAAAAAGTGCCAAAGTCCTTGCCAATCATTTCAATGCATTTGTAATTTTATTCATTGCTCACTCCTTATAGGTCAATCGGGGAGAGCAGTACCTCCAGGGTTCCCCACCACCGAAATCTCCATAAGCGAAAGGACTAGAAACTCACTATTTTAAAAAAATGAAAGCCAAGAAGGTAGGAAAGGGTTCTAGAACGTTCTTGAGGAAGTCAGGCTTCCACTGTGGCTACACCCCGGTTTACTAAACTAAGAGTGACCTTCTAAGCACAGTGACTTCAGTGGACTTAGAGGAGTGTAACTATGCTCAGGATTATTTTGGAAGAACACAGCACAGCAGGGTGTGACTGTGTGCTCAGGACGTATGAGACAGTGTCTTGTTTACCTATGGAAACGCTGTGTGCCAGTTTCAGTTGCCCCACCTGTCTTGCGTGCCTGACAACCCTGTGACCACCAAACAAAGCACACCTTCTGCTCAGCCTTCCACTGTTTACTTCATCAAGGGCACTTAGAACGGGTATTTGATTGGAAGCTACGGAATGTCCAGCCGTGCGGATAGTTTCAGGTGGGCAGGTGTGTTCGCCTGTAGTAGCTGGATGAAATCTGAATCCAGTAGCACCTTAAGGAACAACAAAATCATACAGGGTGTCATCTTTCGTGAGTTAAAGTTCACTTTGTCAAATACCTGATGAAGTGAGCTTTGACTTGGGAACTTTTATACCCTGGCCTGGATGATGAGGTTGGTCTTTAAGGTTTTACTGGACTCAAATTTTGTTCACCTGTCCAGAGGAAGTTCATTAGAGGGAATACACTGATGCTGGCACTTCTCTCTAGGGAAGAGAGGTGCAGTGCAATCCCATGCATGGTTACTTTGACGTAAGTCTCACTTCATTCAACAACTTACTCTCAAGTAAGAGTGCATGCGATTGTATTCTTAATGTTACAGTACGTGATATGGAAAAGGCAAGTTCTTTGGTATAATGGAGTTAGGGGCTGGTTACCAAACTTCATTCACATTCCACCATTCACCCATGACACCTCTGGATGTGTTCAACCATCACGGTTTCCATCCCGTTCCCAAGGAATCCTGGGACTTGGAGATTAATTGGGTGCTGACTGAGAATTGTTAGAGGTCTTTATCTTCTCAGCTCTTTGCAGGTTAACAATTCCCAGGGGAATGAGTAGCTCCCCTTGCCAAATCATGGTGCCCCAAGCAGCTGTTTGAGAAGCACGAAGGCGCATCTCAATTGCCTTTAACAGCGAGGAATCAGACATACCCTGTCTGAACATAGCGGTTTCACTGAGCTATCATGTAGGCCCCCCCACCTAGGGCAGGGAATTACCTAATCCCAGCCCCAGTTTCCCATCTGAGAAATTGAGGAGCAGAAGAAAAACTGTCCTCCACATAGGGGCACTCTAGGAATTTCCCTTAGTCTCTATAATGAAGACCAGAGATACTAGGACAGGCAGCCTAGAGAGTCACCCAGAAGTGACATCACATTCTCCCCAAGCACTAACCCCCAGATTTCCTGGCATTTGCTGGAACAGTTTCGGTACTCCTATCACATGTAATAGTCATTAGGCCTTTTTAATCCCCCAGATTGCATAGTCCATTTTCAAAAAGGCAGCTAGCATTATTTGTTTCAGCTATCCATCGCTGAAATCAAACGCTATGTAACACACCTAGTCCATTTTCAAAAAGGCAGCTAGCATTGTTTTAGCTATCTATCACTGAAATCAAACACTATGTAACACACTGGATCACTTTACACTCCGATATGCATACTGCAGGTCTGTTCCTAACTTCTGTTTAATAACCCATTTTCCACCCACTTTCTCCTCTGCACTGACATCTCACTGGTATTGAGAAAATTTCTCTACACAGAATAGCTTTAAAAGATGTTGTATGGAAGATGTTCTATGAGAACTTCCATTCTGTTAGTAGAAATTGGGCTTTCCCCCACTCCCATATTGGGGCCACTTAAAAAGAGAGCAAATCCCTGAGATTTCTTCAAAGGTGCAGATGGTAGTGCTTTCAAGCTACTAAAACATATTCTCAAAGCCAAAAGATCAGTGATAATGGACGACCCTCCAATAGAAATTTTAATGATCTCTGAAGGGCTCTTCCAAATTCTGAATAAGTATGGTAAAAAAAAAAATCCCTACCAGAGGCAAACTGGGAAGTTTAAACAACCCTGAAGTGAGCAAGCCAGGGAATCCCTCTGGCGCTGCAAATTATCACTGGAACTCAGCTTGACTCGTTCCTGGCCATCAGTGGGCATACATGGCAATGGCCCAACAGAACTTTATCAATAAATTATAAATGGCCACTCTGACCCCCATGCCTTCTACTTCCCAATTCCACAAAGCAGGTTTAATATTCCTGCATCCTGGGAAAATATGGGATTTCGGATAATAATTTAGTGACACTGAGAATTAAATATGTTTAGGGAAATAACATACAGAAAAGCAGGAGTACTGGGTAGTATTAAGTAGATGTTAGAGTTGAGAAAAATAAGAGACACAAACCACACCACAGCTTGTTAAACTGAGCTGGCAGTTAGAACTTGGTGTGGCAGTTCTTACTGAAGAAGAGATTGAATTTATACCCCACCATTCACTATCTGAAGGCGTCTCAGATGGTTTACAATCTCCTTTCCCTTCCCCTCCCCACAACAGACACCCTGTGAGCAGTGTTCCCTCTAAGGTGCGTCAGTGTGAGCTAGCTCACAGTTTTTTAGCCTCTGGCTCACACATTTTTGTCTTAGCTCAGAAAGGATGGCTCCAGAGCACACTAATTTATGCAGTAGCCAAATCGCTCGCTCACAACTTTAATGCCAGAAGCTCACAAAGTAGAATTTTTGCTCACAAGACTCCACAGTTTAGAGGAAGCATTGCCTGTGAGGTAGGTGGGGCTGAGAGAGCTCTTTTGAGGACTGCTTGTGAGACAGCAGCTCTGAAAGAACTTGTAACTAACCCAAGGTCACACCAGCAGCTGCATGTGGAGGAGTGGAGAACTGAATCTGGTTCTTCCAGATTAAAGCCCACACGTTTAACGATTACACTAAACTGGCTCTCCATTGGTTGAAGAACCCTGGTAAGATTGGTTGTCTCTGAGACTCTCAGGATTGGCTGATTTATAGCCTAATCACCTGATTGGCGGATAGCATTTGATGGCCAACAGGAACAGATTAAAGTTGGGACCCGGGAAATGTGGGGAGAGGCATTGCTATTGGATACCCATGGAACTATCTTATAAATTATTCTGTTAGTGGCCCTAGACTGGACACACAGAGTTCACGTGCAGCTTAAAGAAAAAAAACTGACTTGATTTTTTCCTTCCTAATTTGTTTTGTGATCTTTGCTGGCCACTTAGTTTGAAATGAATTAAAATGTTAAGATTGTATTAAAATAATGCTCCATTGTATTCAGTCCATCCACCTGATATATCTAGCAATGCCAATTCTATGAAAAATGAGATTATGCTGCTTCATTATTTGATCCTGGCAAAGAAGGTAGGACAGCTTCCAGGTTTGATTCTATAACATGTGCATGCTGGGTACTACTGGCACTTAAGTGCTTTTGCTGGCTGCCTACCTTGGTTACCAAACACGCTGGCACGAGGAGGCCTCCATTGCAGAACTGAGATTTCCCTGGCTATTCATTTCTCAGCAACGCCAGCATTCCCTTTGTAAGGCTGTGTTCAGGCCCTCCCAGTACCAAAGTGGAGCCCAAGAGTAGAAGGAAAGAGCATGCTCTAAAATCAACTCTACACAGTATGGCCATGGAGCAAGCTACTTGAAGACCCAGAAAACTAAGATGAATTGATTACAATTCTTTGGTCAGACTGGTCTACAGTGAGCATACATATTTCTCACACCAAACATTCAAGCTCCAAATTTAACTTAAAAAGGTAAAGGTTCCCTTGCTCGAAAGCCAGTCGAATCCGACTCTAGGGTTGCGGTGCTCGTCTCCGTTTCAAAGCCGAAGAGCCAGCGCTGTCCAAAGATGTTTCCGTGGTCATGTGGCCGGCATGACTAAACACCAAGGCGCACGGAACGCTGTTACCTTCCCACCGAAGTGGTACCTATTTATCTACTTGCAATTTCTTGCTTTCGAACTGCTAGGCTGGCAAGAGCTGGAACTAGAGACGGGAGCTCACTCCGACATGCGGCAACTCTGGTCTTGAACTGCTGAACTACTGACCTTCCACAGCCTGCAGTTCTTAACTTAATTTAACTTAAGAGGGGATAAAACCAGACCTTTGATACTAAGGGCCGGGGGGGGGGAAGGCCCAAGACCCTACAGACTTGTGGGAACATACCAATTAACAGCATCCTACTTCCACAGCTTGAGAAGAATCTAAGCCCATGTGTTCTGGTGGTGGTGGTGAAGTGCCA